TTAGAGAGGGTATGATAAGGTTTCCAAGATGAGTCTGGCATTATTATTTTATACTTATGGTACCTATGAGGCAAGACCACTTCACATTTTTAAATTGATTTATCTTAAAAATGCAAGTAGTCAGGGGAAAAGAAAGCAGAGAGCAATTCTAAGAAAGAGAAAAAAGTGAGCAATCCTTACATCCAAAACCCTGACATAGGACACGTTAGAAAGTGCGTGCATTGGAGTTGCGTGTTGCTGCAGATACAGCAGCAGCTATTGTGAAGGTTTGAGGCCAAGGGACACACCTGCAAGCACAGCTAGTTTAAAATGGCACTAATAATAGTTACGACTGATAGCAGGTGCTATTCTGTTCCAGGCACGGTATTAAGCACTATAGATGCATTGTCATAGTCATCTCTCCAATAATCTTATGGAAGATGGCTCCGTTCTCCCTTTCTTACCAAGAATTGGAGTGATGGCAGTGCTACAACCAAATACACTTGTTTACAAGAATTAATCACTTGGTAGGAACAAGAGATTCAGCTACTAATCAGAGCACAGAATTTGAGAGAGAATACAGGACAAGAGAGAACAGAAGAGTCTTGCTGTTATTGGTCAACATCAAAGCACTATCACTGGGTCTTTTTAAGTTATATAAACCACTCAACAGAATACATGCGAGCTTTACTAGTAGGCAGCATGCTGAGAGTTCAAACCACTCCTTGATGTGGCTATGGTTCCTTAACAATGGGCCTCTCCTGTGTCCAATTATGGCCAAACCCATTTTGGGAAGACAGTGATGATGTGATGGAATTCTCACAGGTCATGGCATCCCAAAGCCTGAGTTTGCATCCAGGTAATAAATGTGTCCAGGGCACTTAGGGAAAGCAAATGACTTTTCTGATGCTGTATCCTCTTCTGTAAAATGGAGCAAATGCTACTTACTTTATAGAACTTATGACCTTCAGTGATGACTATTGGTGCTGGTATGTTACATAATCTCCCTAGAAAGAGCAGAACTGGTGAGTGGCAGAACTGAGGTACCAAATCAGGACTAACTCTCCCCCTCTTCTAGTTATCTACCAGCCCAGTGTCTTCCTGAGTGACATTTCAACCCTGACATCTCAAAGTCTCCAAGAAAGCAATTCCAGCAGAGATGTAATGGATTCACTGCATCCCCCATCACATTATCTCATAATAAGGACTTTCTGGGTCACTCAGAACTTGTCAGCCCTCTCTCACCACTCCTATTCAACATAGTATTGAAGTCCTGGCCAGGGCATTCAATTAGGAAAAGAGGAAGTCAAATTGTCTCTACTTGCAAGTGACATGATTGTACATTTAGAAGACCCTATTGTCTCAGCCCAAAATCTCCTTAAGCTGATAAGCAACGTCAGCAAAGTCTCAGGATACAAAATCAATATGCAAAAAACACAAGCATTCCTATGCACCCACAGTAGCCATCAGAGAGCTAAATCATGAGTGAACTCCCATTTACAATTGCTACAAAGAGAATAAAATACCTAAAAACACAACTAACAAGGGATATGAAGGATCTCTTCAAGAACTACAAACCACTGCTCAAGCAAAGACAGATTCAATCAAAAATGAAAAGTGAAGTTTAATTCAGCCTGAGAATGAAAATGGGCAAACAAAACGATGCTTGTGAAAATTACTTTACCCTGTGGCACAAATATTAAGGTTGTCCTTAGAGGAAAATAACGTTTTATCCTTTCTTTCCAAGAAATTCCCAGCCTCAAGCAGTGTTTAGTTTTTAGTTCTTATTCAAAATAATTGCACATAACACATGAATCATCAGAGCATTTGCTTTCTGCAGGGTCATTTTTTCTCTTTCTCCCCTTTCCACTGGCAATGAGTCCTTTTGAAAACTAACAGTTCTCTGATCAGTTAGTTCTCCCCTTCATGCCTAACCAGAGGTTTTGTAGAAAGCAGGGAAACGTCTTCTTTCAGTACCTTGAGAAAGGAATGCTGACAAAGATAACTCAGAATCACAGGCCACTCGCTTAACACTGTTATGTCTGGCTTTTCATCATAGGCTCACATCAAAAATTTCAGGAGATAACCAAGCACATACTTCTGCACACATGCACACAAGCTATGCACCCACAGTGTGATGAGAAATTCCTGCCCTGCCCCTTGCTTCCTATTAAAGCAAAGTCTGTCACTAACAGCTGGAGGACAAATGTTACAAATAGAAAGCAAATGGTTGGAGGGGACGTTTACCTATGGTCATGGAACCAAGGCCTCGTTGACAAAGCAAAAGTAGAGCTAAGAATGGACTGAAGTGTTATCGACGTAAGAGGACTTTTAAACACTGGAACTCCCCCACCCTTCCACTGCTAACATGGTCTTGCCTCTGGGAGTATTGATCTCCACACTCTCAGGCAAAGTCTGTGAAAGAGACTGGCTAAAGAAAATGTGGCACATATACACCATGGAATACTATGCAGTCATAACAAAGGAACTTTTTTGAAGAGTATATCCAACTTCTTATCTTGCTATTCTGCCATTAATTTTGATTTGAAGTTCTTTTAACCTACCATCCATTTCCTTGCCAAGGAATTGCAAGCTTATTCACTGGTCTCATCATACTAGCCGCGAACAAGCCCACATGAATGTCACTGAGTGGCCAGCATGTCTGTGAAGAGCAGAAACTTACAGCTAAGGCCAGCTAGTAAGTACCCGATGCCCACTCTATAGAGGACTCCACACTCAAGACAGGGTAAGCAAATGCCAGGCTGCATCTCCAGTTATCCCCCCCCAAAAAAAAAGTAACCCCGCCAGGAAACATGTGTGTGTACACACCCAAGTACATGCACACAGCTACATGCAACAGGGAAAGGCTGGGAAGGAACCAAATCCACCTCTGAACACCACTTACTTCTGAGGAAAAGGCAGGTGAGGATGACTACCAGCATTCCTCACCTTTTCAACTGGTGAGCTTCTGTCAATTTTGGCTTTTTGTTTTTTATAAAGGCAATTTGCACTCCTTGGGTGATCACACAAGCCCTGCAAAACTGAACCATCAACAACCACCTTCCCATGAGGCCAAACAATGGCTACTGGCCTCCAGGGGTATAGGAGTCCAGGCCAAATCCATGCCACAGATTCCTAGTGAAACCAGCACATATCCAAGGACCTTTCCCCCACCTGGGTCATGTGCCCAGTCACAAATATGCCTGTGCTTGCTCCCCTAAGACAGAGACTCCCTTTTATTACAGTTGCAATGAGGTATAGGGAGATCTGATGCTGTCCTGTACAGTTGGATGTTAATCTGATGTGGTGCTGTCGGAGAAGCTTGCCTGAGTCAGGTGCGTTCTCAGCACATAATGTATGCTGTCCCTTCAAGTTGCAGGAGTCCCAGAAGGCAAGTGCTGCTGCAACCCCCATTTACTGGTGAGCAGAGGTCAGGTGAACCGCAGCCGGCCAAGCAGCTGCTAAGTGGCCCACAGGCCGGATCTGCATCTCACTTGCAGAGTCTTCCTGGCTGCAGGGGCTGCCCTGGAGACTCATCCTACCTCCTCCTCTTCCCTCCACAACTATGCCAGCTTCTATCCACAGCTGCACTCCAGGTGGGGAACACCTATGGATGCACCAGGGTGCAACTACTCAAAGACTCCAGCGTGCAGAAGGGCCCCTGCTCCAGGTCGTTCCCATATCCAAGCCCAAGCTGATCTAGGGCTCAAGCAAATCCAAGCCTCCCTGAATTCCCTGCTGAGACCAAGCCAAGTCCTAGGACCCTGCTACGCTGGCTAGATGCTGGTTCCAGATGCTGCTACCTCCGTGGCCCCTGTCTGTACAGTTCTGAAGTCCTACAAGAATATCGAGATCCTAAGCTGACTCTCACCCAAGGAAGTAAACAACTAGGGGCCAGGGGCTGCCAGGGGTAGAGAACATACCCAGACAGGTACTGCTGGCTTCAGTCTTAATGTCCTTCCCCTACTATTCACCATGCTTTCCAGGCTGGAAGGGGGACTCCAGAAACTTCGGAAACCCAAGCCAGTAGCTAGCGTATGGATACAATGCCTGAAGGAGCACCACTCCTAACCATAACACCCTCAGGTGGAACCAGGAAATTGGGAAATATGTGGGTACCAAGCCCGACCCCTACTTAGACTCAGGTGGGAATTGCAGCAGTGACTTGCGCCTCTGCCACTCCGGCTGTCCCACTACTGTTACAGGAGGAAGGCACATCTGAGCCCATGCTCCAGTGGAGACACCAGGTGTGAGCAGGTTCCGGTGGTGGCTGCCGCTGAACCTTCCCAACTGGGTCCATACAAGGTCATCTCAGGTGGGTGTGTGCCTGGGCAGGGCTGGGCAAGGACACCCTTCAAAGGGTGAAAGCCACTGAAGAGAGCTGTCAGAGAGGTCCCTTTTCCTGCTCCTGGAAGCTTCTTTCAAGATGAGGTACTATCCTCTTTGCCTGGCCTCATTTGCCCCCAGTAGCCCATTGTCAACATTCAGACAATAAAAAGAGGAGCCTCACCTGTTTTCCCTGACACATCTGAGGCAGGTGGGTATGCCCAGGGGCCCTGGGGTGAAACCCGTACATCTACCCACCCCAGGCTAGACTGCCTTCATCTTGTCTGTTTGATATGGCAGGTGAAGGAGAATTACCCAAGAGGTCATCACACAGGCCATGGACAAGTTCTACAAGAGCCAGGTAGAAGAGCAGTATCCTGGCATGCTGCCCAGCACCCGGCTCACACACACCTCATTTGACAGCTTCCTCGAAGCAGACCTTGAAAGTCCAGGCTTCCTGAGAAGCCTGGGGAGGAGACCCTGCCAGGCTAAAGAACCTACCCCCAAAGGTGCCACCCTCACCAGTCTCATCCTGACAATCTTGGATTATTATTGCCCTGAAGTTTTGGAGTGGGGGACAGACAGGAGAGTGCCCATCAGCCCTCCAGACTGGGGCAGCTCAGACCTCCATGCAGGCATTTTTTTCCTCACTGGTTGCCAGTGGGGAAAACAGCACTTGTGAGCACCTGCCTGTCTTCCCAGGCCCTGTTCAGAAACCCCACCTGTGCCTTTGGAGAGAGACTACCCCAAGCATACAGGTCAGCAACTGCATCTATGGCCTTCAGGATGTGCTCCACTTCCATAGGGGGTTCACTGCATGTGAGTATATGGTGGGCTCAATTCCTGCCCAGTAGCCCCTGCCAGATACCCCATGCCCACCTCATTAAGAGAATAAGGCCACACAGACACACCCAGACCGTTATGGTGAGGGGGTGGCTGGGGCCCTACTTGCCCACACTTCATTGCTGCTTCAGGGCCAACTGTCCGACCACATTCCTGCCCTGAGATGATACATTGGGGACATCATCCACTGGGGTCACTGACCACTTATAAAGTTTCAGAAACAGAGGCCCAGCTGGTCCCCCGGAAATTCAGTACATGGGATAAGCCAAGGCTTGCCTTCAGAAATGGGTTTCACATGAAGTAGCTGCCCAAGGCCCAGGCCAGCCCCAAGTTTGCATGAAGCCTGCTACCATGTCCACAGCCCATGCCGCCCCCTCCAGGAGCCACTGGACTGCTTGCTCCTGGGAGGTGAGAAGCCCAAGACAGCTGCAGCCTTGCAGGACCACTATGCCCATCTGGAAGCAGTACCCAGAGGGCCTATAGTAAGAAGCTGGAGGTGAACCCAGATGCTATGAAAGTGCTTTATTAGGCCAGACTACTTACTATGAAAATGCTTTAAAATGCAGCAGGAGGAGATAAAAGACTCAAAGACGTACATAGTGACCATGGCGATCAGAACACACTAAAGAATCCACACTGCTTCGCCCTTTACCTAGAAAAGGAAGCTTCTAGGCTACCTCCTCCTCCTCCTCAGCACACTCCTCAAACTCCTCCTCCTCAGCTGTGGCGTCTTGGTATTGCTGGTATTCTGACACCAGGTCATTAACGTTGCTCTCGGCCTCGGTGAACTCCATCTCATCCATGCCCTCGCCCGTGTACCAGTGCAGGAAGGCCTTGCGCCTGAACATAGCTGTAAACTGTACAGAGACGCGGTTGAAGAGCTCTTGGATCGCTGTGTTGTTACCAATGAAGGTGGCCGACATTTTTAGCCCCCGGGGTGGGATGTCACAGACGGCTGTTTTCACGTTGTGAGGGAGCCATTCAGCAAAGTAGCTGCTGTTCTTATTCTGAATGTTGAACATTTGCTCATCCACCTCCCTCATGGACATGCGACCTCTGAAAATGGCAGCCACAGTTAGGTAGCGGCCATGACAGGGGTCACAGGCGGCCATCATATTCTTAGCATCGAAGAGCTGCTGAGTGAGCTCAGCCACGGTCAGGGCCCGGTATTGCTGGCTGCCCCGACTGGTCAGCGGGGCAAAGCCGGGCATGAAGAAGTGCAGTCGGGGAAATGGAACCATGTTCACTGCCAGCTTCCGCAGGTCCGCATTCAGCTGGCCCGGGAAGCGCAGGCACGTGGTGACCCCACTCATGGTAGCAGACACCAGGTGATTCAGGTCACCGTAGGTGGGTGTGGTCAGTTTTAAGGTCCTGGAACAGATGTTATAGAGCGCTTCATTATCAATGCAGAACGTCTCGTCTGCATTTTCTATCAGCTGGTGAACGGAGAGGGTGGCATTATACGGCTCCACCACGGTGTCTGACACCTTGGGCGAGGGCAGGACACTGAATGTGTTTATAATCCTGTCTGGGTACTCCTCGCGAATTTTGCCCGTGAGAAGGGTACCCATCCCAGACCCAGTCCCCCCACCCAGGGAGTGGGTCAGCTGGAAACCCTGCAGGCAATCACAGCTCTCAGCTTCTTTTCTCACAACATCCATCACCGACTCCATCAGCTCCGCGCCTTCCGTGTAGTATCCCTTGGCCCAGTTGTTCCCGGCCCCACACTGACCTGTAAGGTAGTTCAGTCAGTCACTCGATGGCCAGGTATATGGTCATCAGTGGTCACCACCACAATGCAAAAAGCACCATTCACCCTGCAGGTGGAGCAAATGAAACCCTCTCCCCTAAAGTTACAGGACAGCAGTCTTGCTTGTGAGACCCTAGATCAGGGGCCAAACCTGAGACTACTTAACAGACTCGCTGCAGGTGACTCCTGACCATTCCCAGGGAAGGTCATGGTCACCACCCCAGCTCAGCTCCCTGCAGGGAGGTTACATCAGCAACTCCTCACTTTGAGAGGACAGCTGGGCTCCTCCCAAAGCCCGTTTAGGAGAGGGAGATTGAGTAACTCAGAGGATGGGAGGGTGTTCAAGGACCCCGGTTCCACAGTTCCCACAGAGATGACCTTGGGGCACTCACTGACTTTGAGCTGCCCTGGCTAAGAAGTTGCACCCCGGTCCTCATCCACAGCTCACCAAAGATGAAGTTGTCTGGCCTGAAGATCTTCCCGAAGGGCCCTGAGCGCACAGAGTCCATGGTGCCTGGCTCCAGATCCACGAGCACAGCACGGGCCACATACCTGCCACCTGAATGGAACAGGAGGGCATCAGTGAGGAGAGGGCTGCCATTTCCAGGAGGGTGGTTGGGGAAAGACTGGGGTCTCACCACTAGCCTCGTTGTAGTACACATTGATGCGTTCCAGCTGCAGGTCACTGTCCCCGTGGTAGGTGCCAGCAGGGTCAATGCCATGTTCATCAGAGATCACCTCCCAGAACTGTGAGAGATGCAAGAGGCCAGACAGGCCAGGGCTGAGTCATGGAGCTCAGGGAGCTGGAGTTGCCCCAGCCCCTCTGCGACTTCCATCCCCACTCTCAGGTCACTGGGTCCCCTTGGGGTTCTTGCTGGCAGCTTTGCTAGCCACCCAACTTGACCACATCCTGGGCAGGGAGTCCAGGGACCACAATGCAGAGGTGCCACCCCTTCCACTACCAACATCTTCACCAGCCACCCTGCAGGCCTGAGATGGGCCCTCAGAACCCCGATTGCCAACCTTTGCACCTATCTGGTTCCCGCACTGTCCAGTTTGGGTGAGCACAATCTCCCTCATAGCCAAGGCAGGACTAGAGCAGCAGAAAAAACGCAAGAAGGAGAAACAATCACAGAAGTGACTCAGCTACCAATGCTTAAATAGCCCCGTGACCACCTCCCCCAGCCTTGGATCGGGCTCCCAGAATAAGAAACAGCTTTACTTTTACACAGGTGGGCCCATCTATGAATCCCTTGGAGTTTAACGTCTATTGGAGAGCTCAGGTAGCCTTTCTGTGGTCCTTTCCATGTTGGGGAAAGCTTGTTAACTGGAGAAGTTCCTCCCATGTCTTTAGTGAGAGTAAATCCCTAACTGAGCTGAAACTGAATTTTCCTTCCATGTGGGAGGGAAAGCCTTTTGTTTCCATATTCACAGAGTGCCTTTGCACTTGTCCTAGATTGATAACATACTTTTGTAATTGACAAGTCCTTTCATTTGAGGAGATCTGTGGTTAGGAAAGGCTTTCTGTATGCCAGCTCAACAGGACCTAATTATAAGATTTCCTTTGGAGCAACTCAAACCCATAGTAAGCTATGGGTGTTAGAGCTAGTCAGGCCTCTGACTTCGCTAGTCTTCTTTAGAATTTGATGAGTTCTTTCACCTTTCGAGAGGACTGCCGTCTCCACACAGAATGAAGGTGATACTTGATTCCTAAAGCTGAGAATAGGTGTTGGGATAAGGCTGCTGTGACAGATGAGCCATTGTCACTTTGCAGGCTTTTAGATGATCCAAACCAAGGAATTATATCTTCTGGTAAACACTTTTCAGATAGCGTGGGGAACGCCTTGATCTAACCAGTGAAGGTATCAGTAAGCATTAGCAAACATTTGAATTTCCTGCAGAAAGGTGCCTGAGTAAATTAGAGTTTTCAGTCCTCACCTGGAGAGGTTTCTCAATGTTGGACAGGTTAAACTAGAGGAGGAGAAAATTACTGGCTGTTTGGTTTATTTCAGGCACAGAGCTCAGGGCAGAGTCACCTGTTTTAGTGTCTTGAAAAGATTTATTGCCATAATCTGATGAGACATGAACTGAAACAAAGAATCTCTTCTAGGGTGAAAAGAATCATGTAAGTGCTTAATTATTTTCCTATGATGAGTATTTGGCATTAGTAATGTATTACCATGAGTCAGCCAGCTGGAGGGGTTCTGGGCTAAACTGCAATCCCTGGTGCATTTTTGTTCTTCTTCGGAGTATTCTGGCCCAGCTCTAGGTATGCTGACCAGCATGCCCATCAGCTTCACTGCAGTGACCCTGGCTGCCACATCTGCAAGGGCATTTTATTTAACATGGTCAATCTCTCTTTTGGTGTCCTCTGAAATGAATTACAGTCACTTTTCTTTGGCAGCCAAGTGGCATTCTAACAAGCTCAAAATCTGAGTGATGTTTTATGGAAAAGCCCTCTGTGGTCAGGAGTCCCTACCCATTCCAAACTGCAGCATAAGCATGAAGCACCACAAAAATCATACTTAGAATCAGTGTAAATGTTAACTTTTAAATCCTTTCCCGACCGCAGTGCTCTGGTAAGTTCAATCAACTCAGCTTTTTGAGCTGAGGTAGAGGCCAGCAAGGCTTGTAACTTGATTAACTTGTGCTGACTAACAAGAGCATATCTAGCCCTCCTGTTTTCCTGATGCCTAAAACAACTTGCATCTGTTAACCCCTCTTCCTTGGGATGGTCAAGGAGCTCATCTCAAGTCTCGCCTGCTAGAATAAATTTGTTTCATAACTTGTGACATGGGTTGGCTGTGTCTACAGTCAAATCTTAAATTGTAGCTCTCATAATTCCCATATGTCTTGGGAGAAACCCAGTTGGAGGTAATTGAATCAGGGGGTGGGGTGGGTCTTTCCCATGGTCTTCTTGTGGCAGTGAATAAGCCTCATGACATCTGATGATTTTATTTTATTTTTATTTATATATTTTTTGAGGCATAGTCTTGCTCTGTTGCCCAGGCTGGAGTGCAGTGGCAAGGTGTCGGCTCATTGTGGCATCTATCTCAAGCAATTCTCCTGTCTCAGCCTCTTGAGTAGCTGGAATTGTAGGTACCCACCATCATGCCTGGCTAATTTTTGTATTTTTAGTAGAGACGTGATTTCACCATATTGGCCAGACTGGTCTTGAACTCCCGACTTCAGGTGATCCACCTGCTGCCTTGGCCTCCCAAAGTGCTGGGATTACTCCTCTTTATAAGGGGGATTTTTCCTACGCAAGCTCCTCTACCTGCTGCCATGTAAGAGATGTAACTTTTGCTCCTCATTTGCCTTCTGCCATGATTGTGAGGCCTCCCCAGCCACGTGGAAATGTGAGTCAATTAAACCTCTCTTATTAATTACCCAGCTTCAGATATGTCTTTACTAGCAACATGAGAACAGATTAATACAACCTGTATGCCAGGAAGGCTGGGAGCACCTGTGTGCTCTAGCAGATACGGAACTGAGTTTATAGTTTGTCAGACTTCAAGGGTTATGTCTGGAGTGTCTAGCGATAAGGCCTGATACTTTATTAAATGTTCTCCTGTAATCCACTGGTGCCCTTCAGCTTCTGGGACCACCTTCCCTTGGTGTGGGGTCAACAAACCTTCAGGTGCTTTCCTAATGTTTATTATCCTTGCCTACTAGAAAAGTTGTAGCAGCAACAGTGCTGAGAAATCTAGGACACCCTGAGCCCACGTGGTCGATCTGCTCAGAAAAGTAGGCTACTGGCCTTGGAATGTTTCCCAGTTTGGGGACAAGATTACCCAAGGCCTATGCCTTGCTTTTCGGCCACATAAAGAAAAAATGGTTCATCCAACTTTTGGACATCCAAGGCTGCAGGAAAGCCTAATTTCTCTTTGAAAGTATTGAAGGTTAGCTTGCAGTTCTAATTACATTGAAGGAGATCTAATATTTTTCTTTCAGTGTTTTATATAAAGGCATGGCTACATGTCCAAATCTGGGCACCAATCTGCAGTACCCAACTGTCCCCTAAAAAGGCCCGCAGCCATTTGTTGAACTAGGACTCTTGGATGACTAAAAAAACTTTTTTTCCTTCAAGGGATGTTGATCAGTTCCAGAGGTTAAGACAGATTCCAAATATTTGAGTCTTTGAATCATAATCTGAGCCTTGTATGGTGACACCCTATAGCTGCCATTTCCCAGGAAATTTATCAATTTAACAGTATTATTATCTGAGTCTTTTTTAGTCAGGCTAGCAATGAGCAAGTCGTCTGCATACTGAATAATTGTGCCCGTTTGCGATTGTGAATTTCTTAAGTCCTTAGCTAAAGCATTTTCAAACAGTTGGGGTTAACCCAGAACTCTTAGAGTTAACTAACCCTTTGGAGTTAGTTAACTGCAAACTAACTCCAGGTCAGTTTGGAGACTAAATGAGTATCTGGATCAGTCCATTCAAAGGCAAACATATGGTGAATCTGGATGCATTGAGATTCAGAAAAATGTGTCTTTCATATCTAAGAATGTAAACCAGCTCGCATCCCCTGAGACTTGGGTAAGAACTGGGGACAATGGGGTGTACGGTGACAATAACTGCATTTGTTAATGCTCCAAGGTTTCTAACGAATCTGTAGGCTTTCGATCTGGTAACATGGGAGCATTGTAAGGAGATTCTCATGGTCTTAATAAGTCATACGGCAATAATTTGGGAATAAGGGGTTGGATTTCCTCTCATGTTCCCTGCCGTAAAGCATATTGTCTCTTCCGAGGGTGAGCAGCATGAGGCTGGAGTTGGATTTGAATGGGGGGGGTCTTTAGTGTGTTTCCCAGAGCCTGTGTGGCCCAACCTCAGGTGGTAAATATGACAGCTCACCCTTAACTTCTTTTTTTTCCCCCTGAGGGGTCAGGAACAAAAGTAACATTTTATCTGCTTTATGATCTGTGAAGTTCACCTGAGTCAATAAATTTCTCCCCAGTAAGAGGTCAGGCATTCAGACAGTACTAAAAACTGCATGAGAAACCCAGAGGCCCTGGAGAACAACTTAGAAAGTAAGAAGAGCAGTGTTTTGGGGCTTGTCCATCATGAGAAGACAGGAGCCACGGTATTAAATCAGGACAGAGTCATCTGCTCCCGTATCTAATAAGAAGTTAGTACTCCTACATGCCACTTCAGGAGTCACCTGAGGCTCCTCCATCTCTTGATGGCTAATAGCCCAATGGGAGTGGAGGCAGAAGTATCAGGCCTTACCACTCTTGGATCTGCTGGGCTCTGATGATGGCTCCCTTGAAAGCACAGTGCATTCCCTTCAGTAGCAGCCGATTTTCTTACAGAAGGCGTGTTGATTTATACTCAAGGCATAGTGGCCCGGAAACCCAGAGACTTTTACCTTCTCACTTCCTCTACAAGGGCCAAGGGCTAAGAAGCTGGCTCTGAAGTGTAGAGGGCACAAGGCTGCAGCTAGAAGCTGTGCCTTTTGGGAGGTTTGCGTTATTTTTTTCTCTGCCCTATTTCTGTGATTGAAAACTGCAAAACCCAAACCTAAAAGCTGATTCATGGGAGTCTGGAGGCCTAAGGCTACTTTTCGTGGCTTCCTGCAGATATCAAGGCAGACTAGACTGGCTTATAAAATAAACCCCTAGCAATGCCTGTTCCTTCTTGCAGTCAGGGGCAGTGTTAGTGTATTTCTTCAAAGTCTAAATTATCTACCTTTTTAATAAGGCTAGGTTTTTATCTTTTTCCTAATTTTCCTGACTTTATAGAACTCAAAAACCTTTGTCACATTTTTTTTATTCTTTCAGGGAGTTGAATGATTATAATTTTTTCTCTATATATCCTGCTTTCTTCCTAATTTATTTCTCTTTTTTAGGTCTTAACTCTTTGTTGGGTCCTGGTCAGGCACTGCTGTGCCTCCTACTCAACAGGCATATGTTCCTGGTTGCAGGCTGCCACCTATTAGCATGTATTTAGCCACTCCCATAATGCTCTGCTTTTCTACCATGCAGTAGGTAGACACGAATATATGCAAATCTTGTCTGGTCAAATTATACATCAAAGTTAGCCTCTTAACAATTGTCTAGACATTTTCCTGGAT